TGCTAAAACAAGTTTTAAAATATTATAATACATCGTTTACCTCTCTCTGTTCCTCTTGTGGTAGCAGTAGAAATGCACGGCCAGGAAGGTGACGCAGCTCACTCCAATCATCACGTAAGGAATCCACAGCTCCGCGGAGAAACGCCTGAGGCACAGACATACAGGACATACTGAGTATATTTTCCAGGACGAACGTTGGATTGTTGGCGTACATAGGCAAAGCGTTTTTTACTTTGGTTGGGCTGTTGATCGGATTCGGCACTCTTATTACCTGACTGTGTTGCAAGTGCCATAAAACTCTAATGATTGAATGATTGAAGAGAAAAAAAGCAATCGGCACCAAAGAAACCGCCAACCACCTTCGGAGAAGAGATACAGACGATAGATGTTTCATAAAGACTATTGACGTCTGATAGGAAAGAAGAAAACCACACTGCAGCACCGACAAACCATCCACTTGTCTGTGTTTTTCTCACTTAAATATTAACACAATTTAATAATAGATCTTCTAATGTCCGGCGATGACCTATACATCTGCGGAGAAGAATACTTCTCAAAGCGAAGTACATGTAGAAGAATTTGAAGAATCCAAAGTATGTCAACACAAGTAAATCATTATAAGTACGATATCCTTACCTTGCGTGAGCCGCCATTGCGGAAGCGTTGACAGCTAGAGTTCCGTTCCTGTCGTCAACGAACAGTGGAAAACTGTCATTAATCATGCTGGCTTTGGACGCTGGTATCAAGGACACCAAGATCTCCTCAAACCGACCAGGCGATCATCCTGTGAGGTGCGTGAAGACTGAGCTGGTCATTGGTTTATAGCATCTGAAACAACAAAGAAACATATAATGCATCTTAACATTTCACAAGAGCACGTTCACTTGATTATTTCAGCTTTGATGTTATAATAGTTATAATAATGCTAATGACATGAATGATAATATTAATTTGTGTAATATAATCATGACAATAATAATGACTACAAAAATGATGATGATGGCCATTGTCATCATCCTTATCAAAATAAGAAGCAACAGCAGCAGCAGCAGAAGAAGACGAAGAAGAAGAAGAAGAAGAAGAAGAAGAAGAAGAAGAAGAAGAAGAAGAAGA